TGTCCCCCAATTCAATTCCGTTCTGAAACCGTCTACCTAGAGACTGTCTCAGAAACCACAGCTCAGTCCCATAAGACTGCCTGTCCTTCCTAACAGTTATAAGTCCAGGCTTCTAGAACTTTTCACCCACTGGCTTCAAGTTGGGATTCCCACAACCCCTCTTTGGGTTGGATTAATTTGCTAGAGCAGCTCATGGAACTCAAGACCGCACTTACATTTCCCGGTTTATTACAAAGGATACTTTAAAGGATACAGATAAAGAGCCAGATGAAGATATAACACAGGGTGAGGTCTAGAAGTATCCCAAGCACAGACACTTCTGTCCCCTTGGAGTTGGGGAGTGCCACCCTCCTGGCAAACGGATGAGCTCTTCTTCACCTTCCTGTAAGCTTCCATGTGTTCAGCTATGCTGAAGCTCCCTGAACCCTGTCCTCTTGGGCCTTTTATGAAGACTACATTGGATAGGCATGACTGACCATCACATAGAAATGTGGCTGGACAACAAAAACAAAGAAAAGAAAAGAAATGTGATTGGACAAAAAGGCTATGGTTTAACACTAATACACCACATGGGGAAACCCAGCAAGGCCTATCTGTTTTGGATTTTTTCCAGAGTGACAAAAACTAATTTTGGTTCTATTGTCTTTGTAATTACACGTATACTTATAAGACTGTGTGTCTTGCTTGACTATTCTTTTCTTTTTTTTTTTTGGAAATGCTCTCTTACCTCTTAACTAATCTCCAGAAAGGCAGGGGAAGATTAAAGTCCTGCCTTGAGAAGGTGAAAGGAGGGCAAAGAAGCTCCAAGAGAAAGATTCTGCTTTCTGAGGCCTGCTTCTAAGGCCTAAAGCACCTCAATATTATAACAAGATCTGTGGAAGTTGCGAGACACGAACAGTGGATAAAAACCTATGTGTGTGTACGTATGTGTATATATGTCTACGTGTGTGTGTATATATGTACAGATATGTATATACCATTTTTCTGAGCTAATTTCATTTGAGAGGACAATAAAGGTAATGAAGTTTATAGTATATTTCATTTGCTACACTTTCTATGCTAGTCAAAGTGCTGACCCCTAATTAAAAGGACTTCTTTTGTTACCAACAATAAGAGACATCATATCTACATATTTTTTTTTTTCCGGGACGGAGTTTCACCCTTGTTGCCCAGGCTGGAGTGCAATGGCATGATCTCAGCTCACTGCAGCCTCCGCCTCCTGGGTTCAAGCAATTCTCCTGCCTCAGCCTCTGGAGTAGCTGGGACAACAGGCATGCACCACCATACCAGGCTACTTTTGCATTTTTAGTGGAGATGGGGTTTCTCCACGTTGGTCAGGCTGGTCTCGAACTCCCAATCTCAGGTGATCCACCTGCCTCAGCCTCCCAAAGTGCTGGGATTACAGGCATGAGCCACTGCACCTGGCCATATTCTACACATTTAATCACATTTTAAAAAATCCTTGGTACAATTCTCAACCCTGATTTTGAGAAGTCATCCTAAGGAGAGATCTAAAATCCATGTCATGGTCATATTTGTTGGTACATAGGAATCAGATGGACTCCAGGTAGAATAAATGCTAAGAAATGCTGGGTTCCTGCAGGGTGACCTCCTCAGTAAATAACCACCCTCTTGGCAGCAGTTATTCACCTGAGTAGTGAATGAAAATCTCTGACTCAAAGTGCTGTACAACAGCATCCTGGGACACGTCCCATGTAAACTGTGATTGACTCCAGTATACTTTCTAGTTGCATGATCTGCTATTTCTCTTTGTTACATTTTATGTATTCTCAGACTATTCTTCCTAGGATTTCAGAAATTTAACCGGATCCTATTTCTACACCTTCTTGGAACCCAAATAAAGAAAATAAATCCTATCACTTATATATTCCTTCAGGCCATAATCTTAAGCAGGAATTAAATTATTCTTTGTTCAGACATGGGTGCTAATTGCTTACTCCAATGTGATACAAAACCAAACAACTAGTCATTAGGAAGACTTCTTTTCTATTTAAGAGGCCTATTTGTTTTTGAATCATGGGAGCTTAAGAAAAAAAAGGGGGGGGTCTTTTTTTTAATCTTAGTTATCATAAATTCTTGCCTTTCAAAATATATTTTTAAAGTAGATTTTCCCAAAAGTTATGCACGTTTTGTGTTTAGCTTGATTAATCCATTTTCCTGTCATTATGATATGTCGATCTAGACTACATATATTTAAAAATTTACATAAGTCTTAGGTATTGATTTGCACAGTTAGCTTTTCTCTTTAAAACAACAGACTAATTTGTTATTTTTCTCCTTAATATTATTCTTTCTACTATAACAATTTTAACCATACGGAAAAGCTGAGAAAGGAATATAATGGACATCTATATGCTCATTACCTATAAATTAACAATTGCCTTTATTTTGCCCTATTTGCTTCATTTGATTATTTTGGCTGAAGTATTTTAAAGTAATTCCAGGCCAAGCAAGGTGGCTCACGCCTGTAATCCCAGCACTTTGGGAGGCCAAGGCGGGCAGATCACATGAGGTCGGGAGTTCGAGACCAGCCTGGCCAACAAGGAGAAACCCCGTCTCTACTAAAAATACAAAATTAGCTGGGCATGGTGGCACATGCCAGTAATATCAGCTACTTGGGAGGCTGAGGCAGGAGAATCACTTGAACCTGGGAGGCAGAGGTTGTGGTGAGTCTAGATGGCACCATTGTACTCCATCCTGGGCAACAAGAGCGAAAATCCCTCTCAAAAAAAGAAAAAAAACAAAGGTCATATGAGTGGAGACTAATCCAATATCACTGATGTTCTTATACGAAAAGGAGATTATAAGGGCCGGGCATGGTGGATCACACCTGTAATCCCAGCACTTTGGGATGCTGAGGCGGGTGGATCACTTCAGGAGTTTCAGACCAGCCTGGCCAACGTGGTGAAACCCTGTTTCTACTAAAAATATAATAATTAGCCAGATGTGGTGGCGCATGCCTGCAGGCCTGTAGTCCCAGCTACTTGGGAGGCTGAGGCAGGAGAATCACTCGACAGGGCAAGACTCTGTCTCAAAAAAGAAAAAAAAAAAAGATTAGGACACAGACACACAGAGGAAGGACAGCACCCATCTGTCAGCCAAGGAGGGAGGGAAGAGGCAGGCCTTAGAAGAAATCAACCCTGTGAAGATCTTTTTTTTTTTTTTTTTTTTTTTTAGTCTTGAGTCGGAGTTTCTCTCTTGTTGCCCAGTTTGGAGCGCAATGGCGCGATCTCGGCTCACCGCAACCTCCGCCTCCTGGGTTCAGGCAATTCTCCTGCCTCAGCCTCCTGAGTAGCTGGGATTACAGGCACGCGCCACCATGCCCAGCTAATTTTTTGTATTTTTAGTAGAGACTGGGTTTCACCATTTTGACCAGGATGGTCTCGACCTCGTGATCCACCCGCCTTGGCCTCCCAAAGTGCTGGGATTACAGGCGTGAGCCACCGCGCCCGGCCCCTGTGAAGATCTTTATCTTGGGCTTCTAGCTGCCAGAATCATGACAAAATCAATTTACTGTTTAAGCTATCCTGTCTGTAGTTTGTAGTTATAGCAGCCCTAGCAATACACTATGTGATCTCCAATAAATTATTCTAAAGTTGTTTCCTCAGCTATAAAGTGGAGATAACATATGCCCCATGAGGTGGTTGTGAGAATTAAATGATGTATGTAAAGCTGACAGCACAGTAAGAACTAAATAAATTCTGGCTATTTTATCCTTAAGAAGATTAAATGAGGTTATGCATGTAAAGCATTTAGCTTAGCGTCTAGTACACAAGAAAGCCTACTAAGTATTACCTATTTTTTTTTTTTAAGAGATGGGCTTTCACCATGTCCAGGATGGTCTCAAACTCCTGACCTCAAGTGATCCACCTGCCTTGGCCTCCCAAAGTGCTGGGATTACAGGGGTGAGCCACCGCACCCAGCCTTAAGTATTACCTATTCTTAACAAATTTTCATTTCATAAAGCCTTACATTATATTTTTCCTATCTCCAAAGTATTGCCTTTTAGACCTTGTCTAATTTATTTGTGCCATAATTAAGTCAGATGTAACAGGCTTTGTACCACTGAAATAGGTTAAGCAGTCCTATCCAACAAACATTTATGGAGCACCTACATTTTGTTAGATTTATTTCCAACTACTTGGTATGCTTTGGTGTTATTGTAAAGGCTACCTTATCCAAAAATTTCCTTTATAGTTGTTTGAAGCTCTTTTATAAATATACAATTTCTTTTCATATACTATTTTCTATCAGTCTTGCTAGGCTTTGTATTAAGGCAAAAATTTTATCCTGTAGTTTCTTCTGGCTTTTAAAATATTCATAATCAAATTACATACAAATAATGAGATTTGGGGTTTTTTCTTAATAAACTTTACATCTTTTGATGAACAAAAATTAAAATTTATCTTTTTTTCCTCTTTTTTTTTTTTGAGACGCAGTCTCGCTCTGTTGCCCAGGCTGAAGTTTAGTAGTGCGGTGTCAGCTCACTGCAACCTCCGCCTCCCGAGTTCAAGCCACTCTCCTGCCTCAGCCTCCTGAGTAGCTGGGACTACATTACATGCCCGCGCCACCACTCCCGGCTAATTTTTAAATTTTTTTTATAGAGACGGAGTTTTGCTATTTTGCTCTGGTTGGTCTATAACAGGGACTATTTTATCCTAACAATATGATTCTAAACGATATTGGTGCCAAAATCAGGATTACCCGATGATATAGTTAATACAGGCTTATTGAATCAGAGGGTCTGGGGTGGGGAATCTGCCTAAGTTTACAGTCCCCATACTCGGTGATTCTCATGCAGCCAAATATTTGGGCGCCCCTGACCTAGCGTCACCAAGAACCAGAAGACCATTAGCAATTTCGCGGACTTCCTGCCCGTGGGTTCCCTCTGTTCCCAACGGGGTTTTTGCAGTTTCATGGAACCTTTCCACGTTCCACTTCCCGCCCTGCATTCTGCCCGGCGTTGATACGCTCCGAACCTCTCGCCTTACCGCCGCCACTCGGTTTTTCTTCAAAAGAGGGCGGGGGAGAGTAGTCTGAATTGGGTTATGAGGTCCCCGTTCGGGGTACCTCACCTCAGCCATTGAACTCGCTTCGCTGGCCGTGAGTCTGTTCCAAGCTCCGGCAAAGGAGGCATCCGCCGGGTCCCTCCCCGAAAGGCGGGGTCCACGGCATCTCCTGCCCAGTCTGACCCTCGCGCGGAGACCCGTTCTCTGGGAACTCACCTCCCCGAAACTCAGGGAGAGCCCTGTTAGGGCCGCCTCTGGCCCTAGTCTCAGACCTTCCCAAGGGACATAGGCATTGAGTGACAGGACGCACTCAGCTCGTGGCCCCACTGATGAGCTTCCCTCCGCCCTATGGGGAAGGGGTGGCCTATGCAGAACTTATAAGATTCCCATACGTAAAGACATTTAACGATTATGGTGACTTCCCAGAACACCCAGCGACATGCAAATATTGCAGGTCGTACCTCGCCTGTCCCCCCACAGTCGTCTTCCTGCCAGGGCGCACGCGCGCTGGGTGTCCCGCCAACTGACAGTGGGCTCGCGATTCCTTGGAGCGGGTTGATGACGTCAAAGTTCGAATGCCATGGCTGCGCGGCGGCAACGGAGCACCGGCGGCAGCAGGGCGAAAGGTTTGGAGCGTATTAACGCCGGGCGGAATGTGGGGCGGGGAGTCAGAAAAGGAACGATGCCACCTACGGTGACACCCTTCCCCTTACGTGGCAACCATAACGTGGCAACCAAACCAGTTTGGGTGCTAAATTTTGTAAATTTCGGTTTTTCGTACCTTTGGGGATTACATAATTGTGCATAAAGCTTTGCGGACCTGGAACAACTAATGTGCCAGTAGTGTTGTTAATAACTAATGTCATCCAATTTACAAAAAGTAATTGTAAGGTACACCATTATTTTATACTCCACAAGAAAGAATAAGCACTGAAAATGGTGTACTATGATTCACTACTTATGTCGTCCATTGTAAGATGCATCCCAGTTCGAGAGAGTAAAATGCAAGTCTTAGACCTTTGAGATAGAGTATTATGTGTATAATGTTCTTAAATGCATAGGTCCACCCTATAAATTAGGTACTACTGTACTTCTCTAGAAATATAATATTGTTGTACAGTATTCTAATATTGAAGCAAGTGAAGTAGGAAGAGATCAAATACTTTTCCAAGTCTCTACAGATAGAAGCAGCAGAGCTAGGCTCTAAGTTAGGCACAAACCCTTGAGCACTTTATTAACCTTTATCCCATACCACCTCATGTGTGAGGTGGATATTTGGGGGACACTGGGACACAAGTAAACAAAACAGATAGGCAGGCCTCAGTCTATGAACTTACAAGACTCCTAGGGCTCCCTTTTATTTTGTTTTATTTCATTTGGCTAAAATAGCAATTTAGGAAGAATTCCACAGACTGTTATACAAGAGTAGTGTTGCAACAGTTATTGCCTCTTTGTAAGCTTAGAAAATTATCTTAAACCAGCAGGGTGTGGTGGCTCACGTCTGTAATCCCAGCATTTTGGGAGGCCGAGGCGGGCAGATCACTTGAGGTCTTGAGTTTGAGACCGGCCTGGCCAACATGGGTGAAACCCTGTCTCTATTAAAAATACAAAAATTAGCCAGGCATGGTGGTGCACACCTGTAATCCCAGCTACACGGGAGGCTGAGGCACAACAATCACTTAAACCCAGGAGGCGGAGGTTGCAGTGAGCTGAAATCGCAGCACTGCACTCCAGCCTGGGTGACAGAGTGAGATTCTGCCTAAAAAAAAAAAAGAAAAAGAAAAGAAAATTATCTTTTTTTTTTTTTTTTTTTTTTTTTGAGACAGAGTTTTGCTCGTTACCCAGGCTGGAGTGCAATGGCACGATCTCGGCTCACCGCAACCTCCGCCTCCTGGGTTCAGGCAATTCTCCTGCCTCAGCCTCCTGAGTAGCTGGGATTACAGGCACGTGCCACCATGCCCAGCTGATTTTTTGTATTTTTAGTAGAGACGGGGTTTCACCATGTTGACCAGAATGGTCTCGATCCCTTGACCTCGTGATCCACCCGCCTCGGCCTCCCACAGTGCTGGGATTACAGGCTTGAGCCACCGCGCCCGGCCGAAAAGAAAATTATCTTAAACCATTTCTTTATTTTTTTCAGTCTCTTAATCTACACATATTCAGGTGTACTCGTTCTTCTTTGCCCATTTCCAAATTCTGTAGCATTAAATGGAAGCAAAAGAGTTAATGATGGCAACACAGCTCCAGAAGACTCTTCCCCTGCCAAGAAAACTCACAGATGCCAGAGACAGGGGTCGAAAAAGATGCCTGTGGCTGGAGGAAAAGCTAATAAGGACAGGACAGAAGACAAGCAAGACGGTAGGCCAGGGAGCTCATGGGCCAGCAAGAGGGTCTCTGATAGGGGTGGATGAGGGGATGATATCTTGTTATGTCAGCTCTTATTTCTTCCTTCTTTCAGGATATAATTAATTTTTCTATCCTTTGGGCATACCACAAAACTATTCTACTGCCTTGAATCTTCGTTTTCATGTATTTGAGATGGATTGAGGCATAAGGAAAGACCAGGATTGCTTGGGAGGGCAAAGTTAATCCTGACAAGTTTCTGTTTAACCACAACAGCTGTTTTTGATTCCCATAAAGTAGTACCTATATGTTTTTCCTCAGAATCCGTGAAGGCCTTGCTGTTAAAGGGCAAAGCTCCTGTGGACCCAGAGTGTACAGCCAAAGTGGGTAAGGTAAGAGACTCTGGAACTGATCTTCAGTCCATGGGTGTCTCAGAGAGCATCCTTTGTTATAAGGACTCTTGTCTGGGTTATTGTTAGTATTCATTGATGAGTGATTAGTTTTCTCCAATGGCAAGGGATAGGAGTGGTAGGACTTGGGGTTAATAATCAGGGTGTTTTTTAACATGGTGTGTTAGACCATTCTTGCATTGCTATAAAGAATTACCTGAGACTGGGTACTTTATAAGTAAACAGATTTAATTGGCTAATGGTTCTGGAGGCTGTACAGGAAGCATAGCGGTATCTGCTCCTCAGGAGGCCTTAGGAAGCTTTTACTCATGGCAGGTGAAGCAGGAATAGGCACTTCACATGGCGAAAGCAGGGGAGAGGGAGACTGGAGGAGGTGTCACATGCTTTTAAACTACCAGATCTTGGGTGAACTCACTCATTATCAAGAGGACAGTAGTAAGAGAGTGGTGCTAAACCATTCATGAGAAATCCACTTCCATGATCCAATCACTTCCTACTAGGGCCCACCCCCAATACTGAGGATTACAAGTCATCATGAGATTTGGAAGGAGACAAATACACAAATGATACCACATGCTTACCTTTTGTGGTTGCCATCAGCCTTCTACACCTCATTCTCTTTTCAACCAGAAAATATTGTTAAGGGAAAACTGTTTTCTTGTTCTAATGAGAAACTGTACCCAATGGCATGAGTTACTGATGAATGGGGAAAGAATTTGAAATACAGAAAGGCGCCGGGCGCGGTGGCTCAAGCCTGTAATCCCAGCACTTTGGGAGGCCGAGGCGGGTGGATCACGAGGTCAAGAGATCGAGACCATCCTGGTCAACACGGTGAAACCCCGTCTCTACTAAAAATACAAAAAATTAGCTGGGCATGGTGACGCGTGCCTGTAATCCCAGCTACTCAGGAGGCTGAGGCAGGAGAATTGCCTGAACCCAGGAGGCGGAGGTTGCGGTGAGCCGAGATCGCGCCATTGCACTCCAGCCTGGGTAACGTGAGTGAAACTCCGTCTCGGAAAAAAAAAAAAAAAAAAAAAAAAGAAATACAGAAAGGCTACCTCTACAATAAGTTTTCTTTTTTTTTTTTTTTTTGAGACAGAATCTTACTCTGTCGCCCAGACTGGAATGCAGTGGCTCAATTTCGGCTCAGTGCAACCTCCGCCTCCTAGGTTCAAGTGATTCTCCTGCCTCAGCCTCCCAAGTAGCTGTGACTACAGGCACGTGCCACCATGCCCAGCTAATTTTTTATTTTTAGTAGAGATGGAGTTTCACTATGTTGGCCAAGCTGGTCTCAAACTCCTGATCTCAGTTGATCCACCTGCCTCAGCCTCCCAAAGTGCTGTGATTACAGGGGTAAGCCACTGCACCCAGCCAAGTTTTTTTAAACTCAGAATTTTTTTTTTTTTTGAGAGGGAGTTTCACCCACGCTAAAGTGCAGTGATGTGATCTCAGCTCACTGCAACCTCCACTTCCTGGGTTCAAGTGATTCTCCTGCCTCAGCCTCCTGAGTAGCTGGGATAACAGGCACCCACCACCACGCCTGGCCTGGGCTAATTTTAATATTTTTAGTAGAAATGGGTTTCACTGTGTTGGCCAAGCTGGTCTCAAACTCCTGACCTCAAGTGATCCAACCACCGCAGCCTCCCAAAATGCTGGGATTACAGGCATGAGCCACCATGCCCAGCCTAACTCAGTTAGATTCTTTGGTATAGTTAAAAAAAAAGGAAGCATGTTTTTGTTATGGTAAGGTTATACCCAGGTTATGGGTAGAACATAGGTTTGCAGTTCTTTCCCTGGGACATGGATGTTAATGTTGCTGTAGAATGACAACTTGAGCCATAAGAAAATTTAGAGCCTCATTTAGGATCTCAGGGCTGAAACTAATGTTGACTTTTTTTTCCTTCTCTCTTTCTAGGCTCATGTGTACTGTGAAGGAAATGATGTCTATGATGTCATGCTAAATCAGGTAAGAGGCAAAAGAGGCGGAACCATTGTATTTATGAGACCTTCTTCTTGATAATTATTGATGATAGCATCCCAGTGTTCAGATCTTTAAAGTCCTTTGTTTTCTAATTTTTATTTATTTTCTTTTTGAGACAGAGTCCCACTCCATCTCCCAATCTGGAGTACAGTGGCATAATCTTGGCTCACTGCAACCTCTGCCTCCCAGGTTCAAGCAATTCTCCTGCCTCAGCCTCCCGAGTAGCTGGGATTACAGACGTGCACCACCATGCCTGGCTAAGTTTTTGTATTTTTAGTAGAGACAGGGTTTTGTCATTTTGGCCAGGCTGGTCTCGAATTCAGGACCTCAAGAGATCCACCTGCCTCAGCCTTCCAAAGTGCTGGGATTACAGGAGTAAGCCACCGCACCTTGCCTAAAGTCCTATATTAATATTTGCCACTAGTGGTTAAATACCTGGGTACTCAGCCCTGGTACCCTCTTACCTGATAGCAAAGTCCTCAGTGAGAAATTTTTTTTTTTTTTTTGCAGATTTTATATCATTTATTGAAACTTAACTCTCTGTTCATATTATTTTGTACTTTTTTTTTTTAATAGGCAGGATCTTGTTCTGTTACCCGGGCTGGAGTGCAGCTGGTGCAGTCAGCCCACTGCAACCTTGGGCTTCTGGGCTCCAGCA